TACAATGGCAGACCCTGCGCTCTGACCCCAAGCTTCTCTCCCTGTCTCTGTGTCTGTGTCTCCATGGAGAAAAGCTGGGGTATGTGAAAAGATGCATTCCTAATGCAAGAAATTGTATAGGGCTAATAAAGAAACATTATTATTATTAATGGGAGCAGTGGAGCGCCCTCTAGGGAGGGATGTCGGGTGTGACATTTATGGCAGGAAAGGGAGATAAGTGATAAGGATTCCAGATGCCAGATAGGAAACCCCAGGGAGGGTAATCTAAAACCCTGACCATTTGGCCAAAAGGCTGTGAACTGTCCAAACACCATGACTTCTCCCCATTACCATAGTGCAGAGCGAAGTCAGAAACGGCAGGAAAACCCTACAGTATATAAACTGAAAGTTTGTACCGGCACTTTGAATAATACTTCGGTTTTGTTTTTTCTTGGGGGAAACAAGACTTCAGCTTTATTGTTCCTTGCATGCAATAAACTCATCTGTTTAAATTCATCTCAGGATCTAGAACCTTATTCTTTCTGTTACAGCAATTTTGGCGTAGTCGGCGGGTGCTCCAGAAGGCGCAGAACTTCCCATCGGCAGGAGAGACGGTCAGCGCGCACATTACTTTTTAAAAAAAGTCCCGACTCTCTTGTCTGGCCGATTGGGAAGTCTCTGCTCCCTGCGAGAATTGCCCAAGATGATGTAGTAAACGTGAGTTACTGGATTCCTCTGGCCCGGGGAAGACACTGGTGTATGTAATGGGTGGTAGGATGTAAGCCCAGAATTTGGTCTTGCAGGCTGTGATCTGCGGTATTGTGCACAGGCGTTCGAAACTGGTGTATGCCTTAATTGCACGTGGAGTTTTTGAATGGGTTTGGACCTTTACTGTGAGGCTCACGATCGGTGTGGGCCTTAATTGTGCCCGGGATTCTGAAGCTTGAGTGGTGCTTTAAATGCACGTATAATCCAGGACTGGTTTGGGCCTTCATTGCGCCAGGAGTTCTGAGGCTCAGGATCGGTGTGGGCCTTAATTGCGCCTGGGGTCCTGAGATTAGCCTTGATCGTCCACGGATTGGCGTGGCGTGTGTTTTTTTGTTTTAAAGGGAACAGGAAAGACGTAGATGATATGTATGTTTTTGGGGTTTTCCTTGGTTGTTTTAAAGGGAACGGGAGAAACGTGGATGATATATGTATGTTTCTGGTGTTTTCCTTGTTTGTGAACACATACACACGCACAACACTAACATAAACACACCTCATAATAAAAGAGCACAGCACTAAGTAGCAAGATTTAAAGGACGCTGAGATCCGAGAATAGCTCTAACTGGAGCCCAGTGCGTAAGTCCACCCTGGGGCAAAAGCAGCAATGCTGGTGTTCTGGGGATGGTGAATTACTGATCCAGAAAGGGAGTTCTCGAGGTCTCGTTTCTTGCCTGTGAACAGAGCTGTGTAAGTCCTCTATAAAGACTCTGAGAGGCATTTAGATCTGGAGGTAACAGACGCCCTTAGTTGAATAAGTGCAGGAATGCACAGGCTTTCCAAGTGAAAGCATTCCCCTATGAGCTGTTACTTCACACACAACAGAGTAAAATCTTGTGTGCTAACTGGGTGTTTGAGAAAGTGGTGGAAGTGTCTGATTATATATCAGAAAAGTGTAAGTTGACAGAAAGGGAAGAAAAATATAGGAAGAAGCTGAGTTTGTCAGAAGGAGTTTGGGGTGAAGATGCCTGTAAGAAAGCATATGAGTATTGGCAAAAGCACTGGGTTAACGCAGTAGCCACTGAATATGTATTTCAAATACATATTGTATTGTATGCTTGGGAAAGGAACTCAACCACAGCTCAGGTGCGGGTGCGATGGCTCTGAAGGCCATGCCCCCGAGGGACCTGTCATGCACTGGCGAGTTAACTATTGTAGCTTGCTGAGATGTAATCCGTTCTCCTGGTGGGCTGAGGCCACTACCTCTGTAACTCACAAACATTGGATGTTTAACTTCATCTCAGGATCCAGAACCTTATTCTTTCTGTTACTATACCATACTTGAATTCAGCATGCTTTTTGTTTTATCCCAGGTCGGTCCAGAAACAACCCTTATCTTTGTAGAGGACACTCAATTGCTAAGAAACAAATAGCAATAATGATTGAAAAAAAACTTTCTTACATTGTCACAGCTTGCAGATCAGGTACTGCTGTCCCTAGGAGCATAGCCCAGGGGTAATAAACTCTGTTCCTAGAGAAACACTATCCTGCATGTTTTATAGCAGCAGTGGGAAATCCTGATTAATTCTGGTCTCTTATCTACCCTTGAATACCTTCCCTCTTCTAAAAACTCAAACCACCTCTTTTTTGCACTTTCCCCCCTGGTACTCTGCAATCAATGAAGGCAGTCTCGCGAAAACTTTCTAGCCTAAACGAATATTATCAGACTTGGAAAGATTACCTGTCTGAATATAGGGATACGCTAGTCTGCTTGATCCATCTACTCCTCTCACATCATTGAAAATAACCATATAAAGCTGTTGTGTCCAACAAAGGAGACACGATTCGGGTGTGTATGAAGCAGGCATTACCTTTATTACATGTGCACACGGGAGCCAAACCCGATGAAGCACTGACTCAATTCATTGATACAAAAGGATGCTTTTTATACAAAATCACAAACAGAAAAAATAACCCAGAACAGTTCCAGTACAATTCCATGCCATATATGATGTAAAGCCAAGGCTGCTAGCCTTGGTACATGATAAACTATAAGAATTGTAAGAATGTTTTTGGGTCCTTTTAATCATTGTTTAAGCAGAAACCATGTACTTCTAGATTTAGTTAATTATGGCTTAAGCAGATATTGGGTGCTCTCAGTTCTGGTCAGGCTGCCCAAGGCTGGCTCTGCCTTTCACGTTCCAGGTGCGTAGCCAGCTCACACTTAAGTTACACTTAATCATTTTTCATTATTCTAGCAGGATAGTAAAAATTATGAACTTGTTGCAGTTACAAGAGCTTTGTTTATTTTCATGGTCAATATATATAAACCATTGAGAAATAACAAAATACAATCTGACTTCTGGCATTTTGATTTCAAGTAAACTTAAAAAAACAACAAAAAATGATTTACATTTGTCAGTGGTTTCTTCAGAAGTGGATTTAAGAGATGATGAATTGTAGAAAAGATTTGAAGAATTATTTTGTTTTAATCTATCCATTGTAAAATGGTTTTACTCAATAAAAAGTCAGGGGTGAGCTGGAGCCTATCCCCACAACTGTCCCAGTGCTATGCAATGCTAAGAACTGCACCACTGTGCTGCCCTAAAATGCCACAACAAAACTGAATTAACAGCTTAGTTGTTGTAAATCCTAACAGTATGCTTCAGTTTGTCCCAGGGTTGGGAACCACTGGCGTAGAAGACAAGTGTACATCAAAAGACAGGGTCTAGGGCATTAACTCTCCTGACAGAACGTACAGTAAGTACAGTGTACAGTAAGTCAGTGTAAAGCACTTTTGGATACTTTGTTATGAAAGCTATAAATATACCAGAAATTCTTCACTAATTCTATCTCCCTAATCATACATTGATTTCTCTCACAAACGTGTTTTGTAGACAGAGCATCTTTTTCACTGTTCCTTTGAACATTAGCTTTTCATGTCCTGTCAGTCTTAATCTGCAACACAATCAGAACTGTTAAAAAAAATTCAGAGTTATGTAAGTGTGTGTCTTTTTCTATGTGTAACTGGAAAGTAGGCATGAAAGTTGAACAAACAACTACCTTGGCATGCTTAAACTTTAAACAAATTCCTTCACCTTTGCTAGAAGTTTCTATTTATATTCCTAGAAGTCTTACATCATTGATTCTCAATCAGGAGTGAAAATCTCTCACATTCCTTAAAAGAAACAACATTCTACTTTTTTCTCGATTTTCATACTGTGATTTTTTCCTTTGATAAATATTTTGAAATACCTACTGTAGTTTCATAACAGTTACCGGGCATGTCAGAAACATAATAGTTACACCCTACAGTTGCTTTTTTGCTTGAACATATCACACATATAACTTAGAGCTAAGTGAACGTGAGAGTAGTAAATAGAGGTTAATTGCTGAAAAGTAAAAAGAAAGTGTAAATGCAGATTTTTCGGTTGTGCAGCCTAGTCAAATGTGAGGTGATGATAATGAAGAAAATTTGAGCAGTGAAATTGGGTAGATAAAAAAATGAGATAGAAATCTGAGAGACAAATTACATCTGTAAATGAACAGAGAATTGGAGATGTGTCTCACAGAACAGTTTTTGATCCCTGTGAAAAGATGAGTCTACAGTATGTCCTTAATTTAAATATATTACCATAACAATCTGCTAGTACCACAGCATCAGTACTGGATGGTACTGAGCCACTAACGGCACAGCATGTCGATCAAAGGTAAGAACTTTTCACAGAACAAAATACAAAAAAGGACTTTTGAACAAAAATTTGAAGTCATTAGGCTGGAAAGAAAGAAAAAGGTACATAGAAAGTGAGCAGCAGGTGATGCAGAAACACAGAGATGAAGAAAGGTGGAATTAGGATAATTAGAAACAAAGAAAAGAGAAACAAAACAGCGGATACAGTGTGTTAAATCAAATGCTGCTGGTTACCAGTACCTGAACAGCAAAATTGGGTAAAACCCTGTAAAATTAGTAAGACTGAATTCATAAACAAAAGAGATACTGTACCTTCACAACCTGTACTGTATATTTGCCTGACATGGAATAACATGACACTATTACATTACAGGTTGAAAATCCCTTATCTGAAGTTCCAAAATCCGAAAACCTCCAAAATCCGAGTTTTTTTAATGCTGACATGACACGCAACATATGGAAAATTCCACAAAGTGCGGGATGGTACCGCCACGTACAGCTGTTGAGCGCCGCTTTCACCTCCACGTAAAAGTCTATGTATGAGTGTAACATGACTAGCGTAATTGTTGTGTCACAAATATAATGCTGACGTTTTCAGTTTTCATTACATTTTCCTGTAATCAAATTCCATGTTTTGTTTTTATACAAAAATCTTTATGCACTGTAACCTTTTAATCAAAACAAGACTTCGTAGGTGGATACGTATAATTTACCGAACTTTCTAGCTCACAGTGATGTAATCGATGACGTACGCTCTCCCTCACGTTTCTCGGACCTCATGTAGTTGTAATGTCTGGGGCTGCATTTATCTTCAAGTTTGTAAGCAGTGATAATCATGTTTTGTTTTGTTTTGTTTTTTTGTACAGTAAGTACAAAACGTTATTTTTACGTGAGATCTGAATTTCACCTCCATGTGAGTGTTACTTGACTCGCGTCATTACTTGTACATTACGTTAAAATAAAATGCTGACTTTTTTCAGTTTTCATTTTATTTACCTGTAATCATATTCAATGCTTTGTTTTTATACCTTACATAAAACTTAATACCTGTATAGTAAAAAATAAAATACAAATGGCGTACGTCTACTGTAACCTTTTAACATGACATCATAGGTGGAGACTGATATCTTACCTTTCTGATGGTATTATGTTTAGAAAATTATTAAAAAATCCGAAATCCGCAACACTTTCGGCCCCAGGAATTTCGGATAAGGGATTCTCAACCTGTATAAACATCTGTCTGAGAATTTCTTTCTCATAGCATATTTGCCTCATAAGTTTAGCAGTTCATGATGACATACACTGTACGTCTTAGATTTAAATTACATCTTATTGACTTTCTGCAAGACATAGGTATAATATACAGAGGCTGTATATTGTAATTGTTTTTTCTAAACACGTTACTAATACTAGTTAGGTATTGTGAGCAAACTGAACTGTTAAATTGTTTGTCTGCCTCTGGGATTTTTTCTCCAGGGTCAGGGATGTTTTTCAATGGCCAGAAACAAGTCTTATGAAAACAAAACAGTCTCTGGCTACACTCATGCAGTTTGTGGTTGCTCCATTGACCACTTGGCACAACTACCACTTGGCTCTCCAACAGTGTAACTTGTGATGATCTCCCTCCAGTTATTGTTTATGCCTTATTTTGTACTGGACAAAAAGGAAAAGGAAGCACAGAAAAGAAGGACAGGATAAGCGATCTCATAACAGAGCTGTGGCAAATCAAGTCATTTTAATAATCATTTGTACTTTATTTTATTTGGCTTTGAGTCTGTCAAATCCATGTAACAGTAACATGACATACTTCAACGACAAAATTCCACAGTAAAGCCCCTGTCAATTCAGCTGAATTGATAGCGTATCCATCCATTGTCTAATTGTTTGTTTCAATTAAAGGATCACAGAGGAGCTGGAGCCCATCCTGGCAAGCAATGAGTGAAAGGTACAGTAGGGTACACCCTGGACAGGAGGCCAGTCCATTGCAGGGTGCACACATAAACACATGTACTGTACACTCACACCACACCCAATTTTCCTAGAATACACTTGACCTAACTGTTTTTGAGCTGTAGGAGAAAACCGGAGCACCTGGAGGAAACCCACACAAACAAGGAGAGAACAAACAAATAGGTCCAGAATTGAATTGTCACCCCTTTATAGCTTATGTGCATCATATTTTAATAGATTTATAATGGTTACAATCTTACTAGAGAGCTGTGTAACACAGATCATAGAACAAGCTAAATAAGGACAAATTGCATTAATGTTTCAAATCCACCCTCTTCTTCAGAGAAAATTTTAAAAACTAGCTACTGTATTTCCAATTGCTCACAGCACCACATCTATTCCACACACAGCAATCATTTCATGTGTCTAAATTTCGGACATTTCATATTTGTAACAATATTTTAAAGTTTTACTTTTATTCACTAACTGAACTTATAGATAACTGAAATTCAACGGACCAGGGGAAAGTATTGAGATGTTTCAAAAACTGGTCCTGCTGGTGTGCAAAGAGTCCTTTGATCCATGGAGAGCTTGATGAGCAGGTTACCTTAAAATGTGCTCTACAGACAAACGCTCTCTCCTGTTGTTACATATGTTATACTTTATGCCTGCTTTGAAAATCCTAGCTCATAGAGGAATGTTACCACAGAGTATAGGAATAACATTGTCAAAGATTGATGGATATTCATGTACCACAGTCAGACAAAATACCTCTCCAAACTTCAGCTTCATTTTGTGATCCATCCATACAGTAGCTCTGCATATTTCTCTCTTACTTTTAATACCTGCTCTTGTGAAGGAAAAACCAAATCAAAATCAAATCAAAGTTTATTTATCAAACGCACAACAATGCAACGTGCAGCAGTAGTTGCTGGCAATTAAATGTCTTTTCTGTGAGCTCACAAAAATCACAAGAATCACAGAAATCACAAAAACTGAGAAAATGAGGTTACATAATAATAGATGTAATAGAAATGGAATAAAACTCAATATGAGTAGAGCTGCTATGTGTCCATGGTGTATGCAATATATACAAGTAGTGTGGTTATTCTGAATACAGTGAAAACTGTGTGTCCATGTAGCCATTACAGGTGGTTTGCTAAAGGAGCTGCAGGTCGGCTATTTAGCAGTCTTATTGCCTGGAGGTAGAAGCTATTCTGTAGTAGAAAGTGAACTAAACAGATCACATCCAGCCACAGTCCTCCACATTTGTAGCGGGGAAGTACTGTAGCACGCAGACTTCTCTGCAGCATTTTAATGTGATTTTTAATTAGCATTATTTCATGATTTAAACTAAAGCTGTGCAGCTTGACAGATACAGCATGTCTGTCACTGACAATGCTAATGGAAACATCTCAAGTGATTGTCACATCCTCCACTCGTCGAAATCAGGCTAAACAGACTCAGCAGCCACCTAAATACACCAGGCACCACCACACGCGTTAACTAATCATCTCCTGCTATTCTCCATGAACTCATCACCACCTCACCGCTTACTTAAACCTACACCTTACTTAATCCTGTGCTTGGTATTGGTTTCTCCTCAAAGAGTTCCTACCTTGCCTTTGTTTTCTCAACTCCTGCGGGTAGATCTTTCGGATTTTAGACTTTGGATATCACTTTGACCTCGACTTTCTCTTATGCTGCGGATCATTTTCTTAGAAATATAACAGAAATGGAAGAGAATTTTCTGCCACAATTCCCACCACAGCTGGGATACTGGGCCTCTATTTCTGCACAAAAAAACAGTGAACAAATGGGATTTTAAAGACCATAATTTTATTCACCATCCTCACAGCTTGCTCTACTGCTGGTGGATGTGTTCTTCTCTAATACACTGGTGGAAGTGCTCCGACTACAAGAGTTTTCAGGTAAAGAGTGGTAGATTTGAAAGTCAGGATTTTACTCTTTCACCTTACTGACAAATCCCTTGATTTTTGTGCTGTATCGGTGTAACTTTGTCTTTGTCTGTGCTTTCAATTCTGTTGAAATTATTGCCATTTGTATTCAGAATACGACACATTCCGTTGAATTAGTAAAACTGAGAGGTATATAGGAAAGCACAGTACTGTATATACAGTGTGTAGGTTCTTGTACATGCTTGTACTTGGCTTGTCTACATGTCATGTCTAGGGTGATGCTAGATTTAACAGACTACTGTGGTAGAGAACCATCACTAAACCCTTCTATGCTTTATAGGTATCCATACCCTACCGAGTACTCTTTTATTCATTTCGTCTTTGCTTTTTCCTCCAGCCCACTCTTGCTCAATAGGCTTGCTAATCCTCATTCTTCATTCCAGTTCCTGATGGCTGAAAGCATGCAGACAGAAAGACTCTTCAAAATGCTCTGTTGCCCAACTGCAAAGAATTTCAGAGCAGTGCAAATAGAAAATATAGGTAACCATTTCTTCTTTTTTATTGCCCTTCTGAAACTCATTCAACTTTGGTAACCATTACCCAGAATGCCAGTAAAAACAGGTTAATAGGTGACTTAGGGCAGTGATTCCCAACCGGGGGTACTCGTACCCCAGGGGGTACAGCATGTGAGCAGTTACCAGGGGGTATGTGGGAAGATTGTGAATTAAATTTAATTTACAAAATAGAAAGTACTACTTGACATTTTAAAACTATGTCAAATACTGTTTCACTTTTGATCAACATTGTGATTGGGAACAAAATAAAAGTAAAAATAGATAAAATCAGTGAGTTGTTGTCTAGCATAGCCTATTTATCACAATAATCATCCCTGCGTCATTGCACGTCATGCGCCTTATCTAGTTTCCCACCTGCCTGTGTCAGTTGTAACACCACTTCTTATGATTGAGAGAAGCATGAAAGCTAGCGAGCAAACGTTGAGAGCTAATGGATAAGTGGTTGGAAAAATCCGGCTGCTGCCACTCCAAGTGGCAGTACCAATATGAATTCAAACTTAAATGAACTTACCGAAAAAAATAAAAAGGTGACAAAGCCCAGACATCGCCTGTTCCAAGATCAGTATGTTTTGTATGGCTTTACATGTACGGTGGCGGACCCACCGCTGCCACTGTGTTTTTTCTGCGGTGACGTACTAATGAACAGCTCCATGAAGCCAGCCCATCTACAGCGACACCCGGGCACCAAACACCCCTCCTACATTGGTAAGATATACATTTTTCCAACAAAAATTGTCAAGCAAGTCAAGTCAAAGCAAACTGAAGAAAGCCACAGTCATGTCAGCCAAAGCACTGGAGGCTTCTTTTGCTGTGTCTCTACTTGCGACTACTGTACAGCAAGTGAAAGCCCCCCTAAGCTGTAATTTTGGCGGAAACGATGGTTGATAAGAAAGCAGCTGATGCAATCAAAACAGTTCCATTATCAAATAATACAGTTGGATCGATGTCATGTCCCTTAATATTGCTGGCCAAGTGGTGGATAAACTGAAACAAGCAGGTCAGTTTGCTTTGCAGTTGGAAGAATCATCAGATATTAGCAGGTAGGCACAGACGATTGCCTTTGTGCGTTACAAAGAAGAGTGTGACATACTGTAAATGAGTATATTTTGGTTTGCAAGAAGCTTAGAGGGAAGACAACTGGTGAGGATCTGTATTGGAAATCAAATTGTGCAATCATGTACCTGTATGTACTGACGGGGCAGCAGCGATGACAGGGATAGTGTAAGGGGCTGCGCCGGCTTGTCAAGAAGACAAACCCCAAGACTGAGTGGACACACTGCATTATTTACCAGGAAGCATTGGCCAGTAAGGCAATGAGCCCCGAGTTAAGTGCTGTTTTGAACGATGCAGTTAAATTGATTAACTTCCTCCAGTCCAGGCCTGTGAATCACAGATTGTTTCAAAGGCTTTGTCAAGACACTGGATCAGACTGTGAGCAGCTGCTGCTTCATACTGATGTCCGGTGGTTATCCCGTGGCAAAACCCTAGTGAGACTGTTTGAACTTCGCACCAAGGTATGTGCTTTTCTGAAGGAGCACCTCCAACCCCTTGCTACACTGTTTGAGGGGCCAGAGTGGGTTGTGCATCTGGCATATATTGCTGATGTGTTCACCAGACTGAAAGAACTCAACTTATCACTACAAGGCAAAGACATACTGTACACATCCTGAACAATATGTATGACAAGGTGAATGGATTCATAAGGAAGGTCAAATTGTGGGAGAGGAAATGTGAGGATGGATTTGTAAGCTGTTTCCCACTGCTTGATGCCCATCTTACCACCACTGATACAGACAGAGCTTCTGTAGTGAAAATTGGGAAAGCACATGTGTCCAAACTCAATAGTGAGTTGAGCTCGTACTTCAGTGACATTGAAACCAGGTCTGCTAAACTGGACTGGGTCAGGAACCCTTTCAGTGTGACTGAAAGCAGCAGCCTTCCTGCCAGACTGCAGGAACATCTGATGGATGTGTCCTCAGACTGTGGGTTGAAGATGAAACATGCAGACAAGACCCTGACACAGTTCTGGTGTGATGTGGAAAAGGAATAACCTGAGTTGAGGAAATATGCACTTAATGAACTTTTACCCTTTAGATCTACCTATTCGTGTGAAGTGGCTTACTCAGCTATGTCCCAAATCAAAACCAAGCAGGGGAACAGACTCAATGTGGAGAGCAGCCATAGCCACACTGCCCCTAGAAATGTCAAAACTTTTGAAAGACAAACAAGCTCAGATGTGTCATTAAAGGGAGATGAATCTGCTTGGTGAGTCTGACCCTGTTTCCTTACCCACAGTATCAATGATTGGTCTTTTCTGTTGAAAGTGAATCATTCTAATAATATCCAGTTTAATATTACTAATAATGTTTAATAATATTATTAATATTATTAATAGACTGCTCCAGCTACGGTGTTCAAGGGAAGGTTTCCGCAGGTCTTTCCTCCCGGAGGCTGTCAGGGTGTATAACTAGCTAGGAATTGTTAGCCCTTCATTTGCTCCTCAATGGACGGCATGTTTACTCCATTGTACTTTTTGGACAATCAGTCTGTATAAACCTATGCACATATTTTATTGTTTTTACAGTGACTACGATCAGCACATTTTGCACACACCTATGTATTTATTTATTTTTATTTATTTTGTTGTCTTTTGTTTTATAACTATTCTGATGTCTGTTTTGCTTGTCTTGGGCTGGACTGTTGTAACACATCAATTTCCCAAAGGGATTAATAAAGTATTATCCATCTATCTAATAATATCCAGTTTAATATCAGTTTAAATGAACAAATTTAGGATCATACTGGTTCAGTGTGGATGAGGGGGAATTTGAGCCATATTGAAAGGGCTGTGGGGGAATACTGCTCACAAAATTAGTTTAAATTATTCAATCCTTTCTTTGCATGGATTTTTTAGTCTCAAATGATAAAATTGCTCATGAAATCAATTAGGCATTATTTTATTTTGTAGGAAAAAAATCTATACATTCTATTAGAGGCCAGAGCCTCAGATTCAGGAGCTCAAGGAAACTTTTTAAAAAGTCCAGAAAGGTCAGAGTTTCAGGCAGTTGTAATCTTTACATCAATGATCGGGGTACAGTAGCTGCATTCCTCATACAGTAATTGTTTTAGTGCTTTGGATTCTTTGAAATCTCAGAAGTAAACACAATAGATTAAAGATAGCACACTACTTTCAAATATGACCTTATTAGTTGTGCTTAAGATAAACTGTGATTAAAGCAAGTCAAGCAAGCACAAATACATAGGAGGAGGAAAACATTAACAGCAGCATTTTCAGTGTGCAAAAGAAAAACAATCCAAGTAAAGACAGTGTAGTCAGACACAACATTGTTTAATTTTTTTATGGCTCTTTGCAAAGTAATCTAGGCTATCCCACAAACCACAGATCTTCATAAAGAAGTGAGTATCAGAACCACTTCTCTTAACTGTCATCTTCATACAGTATTCTTCTAAAGCATATTTAAATATTTAATTATCCGTATTATGTGTTTTTTTTATTTGATACAACACAAATTTACTTTCATAAAGAAAAAAATATCATTATTAGTTTTCCCACATTCCTTGAATTTCATTTAAAAAAACTTGGGTAGACGCACCTCAACGCATCATCTGAGATTCATAAGAGAAAATCCAATGTAAATTCCCACTTTCTGTTATTTGTGTTCACTGTATATGATGGATATTACTATACATAAAAGTTGTGATTATGGAATTTTTGGATATAAGAGATTTTAAACAATATTAAGGTACAGTAAGTAATCATCTTTGTATCTTTATTAATCATTATTTGATCATGTGCCTTTTTGTGATTTAATACTGTGCTTAAAAAAACTAAAGTATGCCAAGGTGCATGACAACAGAACAGAAAGGCAATAACAGCAGCTTTTTATGTAGCTTTAACACTTTTCTCTCTAAAATTCTAGAACGTGCTGTCACGCTTCAGTTACATAACCACCTCATGACAAACAACCTTTTCGAACCCCTCCAATCTGGCTTCCGTCAACTTCACAGCACAGAAACTGCCCTGGTCAAAGTCACCAACGATCTCCTAATAGCTTCTGATTCTGGCTCTCTTTCCATACTCATCCTTCTTGGTCTCAGTGGTGCCTTTGACACTGTTGACCATAACATCTTACTTTCTTGTCTCGAGACTATGTTTGAACATATGTTTCAACATATTTGTATTCTCTCGAATTGACTACTGCAATGCTCTACTCGCTGGGGTATCTAAATCTACTCTGAACAAACTGCAGTATGTCCAAAATTCAGCAGTTAGAATCCTGACCAGGTCTAGTGCAAGTTTTCACATTACTCCTATCCTGAAGTCCTTGCACTGGCTTCCGGTCAAATTCCGTGTAGACTTTAAAATCCTCATGCTCACTTATAAGCCTCTACATGGCTTGGCACCTCAATACCTGTCTGAACTATTATCGCCTTACTCACCACCTCGCAACCTCCGCTCTTCAAATTCTGCCCTCTTTACTGTCCTCCAAGCCCATCTACATTGTATGGGTGACGGGGCCTTCTCCTGTTATGCTCCCAAGCTCTGGAACTCTTTGCCCAAGGATATCAGAGAGTCACCTTCTCTAAACTCCTTCAAATCCAGACTCAAAACCTTCTTCTTCAGAAAAGCCTTTACTTAACTGGTTCCATTCTTCACCCCTCTGCTCTTCTTAGTGCCACCTCCCACGGTCTCCTCTATTGTTATTGTTGTATTGTTGTAATTGTAATTGTGTCTTATCTTGTGGATTCTTCTTATTTATTGTTGTATTCTCCTTATTTATTGTTATCGTCATCCTGTAAAGCGCTTGAGAAGCCAACTTTAAAGGTGCTACATAAAATAAAGTTTATTATTATTATTATTATAACAAATAAAAATGTTCGGTGCCATCGTCTCTGTCACGATCGCAAACCCCTCCCTTTCCTTGTTTGTTGTTCATCTCCCGCACCTGCTCCCTGTTCCAGCCCCTTTTCAGTTCCCCCGTAAAAGCCAGACGCTGACGTCAATCCCGGCTCTGCATTGGTTTTGCATCATGTGAGCCGGGACCTGGATG